ATCCCGGGGTCATAGGTTCAAGTCCCGTCTAGATGCAGGATCCTTGTCTCTGGGGTAGAAAGCAATCCACTTCATAACCTCTATAATCGATCTAAATGTAAACCGTCATGTGTATAATATGTTTGCCTGTGAAATAGATTGTTGCTAAAAATAGCATAGTAAATATATTTTGCCCCTTGTGTTTAAGTAAATAAAATAAAAAACAAAACAAACCAGAACACTGATGCAAGCAACGCTATAAAGGCCTGTTTATACTTCAACGATAACGATAACGATAAAAGAGCTAAAAAGCAATTGTTCATATAGAAAATAATAAAAGAAATAAGATAAGTTTTTACACTAGAACGATTCGATAACGGTTTATCAGTTATGCGATAACAAAATATTTTGACAAATCAAATCAGATGACGTCATAATCATGGAAAACATTAAACTCGTAGTAGTAGCAACGATTTTATCGTTTTTCCTTGATTATGACGTCATCTGATTTGATATGTTAAAATATGTTGTTATCGTATACACGATAAATCGTTATCGAATCGTCCTAGTGTAAAAACTTCTTTTATTTCTTTTGTTTTCTATATGAACAATCGCTTTCCAGCCTTTTTTTTTTTTTTATCGTTATCGTTATTGTTGAAGTATAAACAGGCCTTAAGACATTGTTTTTGTATCTGTGCCTATGACTATCAGTGTGATCTCTTGCAGTCTGTAGTGAAGAACAATTAATTGCTGTAATACTTTTTAAATTAGCCTTGTTAGCGACTCAATAAGTAGATCTTTCTTCGCTATTCATAAGGTTTAGTTTTACAGTATGTTTACATTCGTCTTGGTTGGGCAAACTTCAATGAAACGCTTCGTATCGCAGGTAAAAGAATGTAAAATATTGTCGCTGTTTCCAAAGGATGCTGTACGCATAGGCCTTAATACACACCCATACATTCGTACATACACTTAAGTCCTATATTAATTTGTGTTATAAAACACTAATATGGTAAATCACAGACAGGATAATATATTTAATTTAAATTTAATTTATTCATTTACCGAGTCACAATCAGTACAAGATTTGATAATATAGGCCTACATTAAATATTATTACATGTACGTAATTAGGGCCTATGCATGTACAGTTTGTATAAGCGAGAAATATACTATGTTAAAAGATGCACAAATTTTATTCATTTCAATATCTGTCTATATGCCTATGTAAAATAAAATATTTTATTTGCATCTGAGAAATTGTGTACAAATTATAAGGATATGAATATCTTTTATAATAATGATAATAATAATAATAATGAAAAATAAGTAGTGTTAATAAATAAATTTAAATTGTATTTCAGACATCTAGTATGCATATCTATAGAAAAAACAAATATAAAATATGACTTACTACTAACAATAAGATTGTTATTAAATAAGGTTTATTATTTTAACATCCACCGTTTTGTTTATTATTTTACTATTATTATAAATATGAGATATATTGTTGTTAATGTCAGCAACTTACCTATAGTATCCGCTGTTTGCCGTATAATCAATTTCTGAATATCTTTTAGAACCATCAGCTCGGCAGGTATTCCCTCCTCGGTCCTTTCCACGGGTGATCTAACCCATGTTAATTCAAACGATGACGCAGTTTTTGATCGCGGCTGCTTAGTAACTGGACGCGCAGTCATAATTTTCTTTCTTAATGTCAATTATTCCAAGACTTCTTTTTACCTAACAATCTCAACAATACATATGTAATTCACAGGTTACTAACGAATGAATTTATATTTCCTTGTACGTTTTTAACCAATTCATTGCTTTGCCTAATTCTGTCCCGTGGCTATGGAGTCCGACCGCTTGAAAAACTGTCAGCATCAAGGTGGCGCTACATAATTTGAGACAACTGCTTGAATTTGATGTGCGAGTCTTTGTCATCTTGTCAAAGTTGTGTAGGCATTTTTAAAATAGGCTGTGTTTAGTTAACACTTTGACCAATATATTTCAACAGTAATCATTTTTTGGGATTTCCATAGTAAAATAGTTTCGAAACCGACCTCATTTAAAACTTAATTTAGTGTCGTTTTAATTAACAATTTATTACTTGAACAGGTTTTCCAGATTTCATACATGACTAGGTTTACTTAAAATGTAATTTTACAAAACATTGAGTGTTTCTAATGAACTTTATGTTGCTATGGTATGGTTAAACTTGTATTATGACGCATTAGTGGCTACGGTCACGTGACGATTAATGGTAATGTGTGCCGTCTTCATACGTGCTCTATCATTAAATAAAATTTTATATTTTTGTTGCGTTTTAATTCAATATATTTTGTGTACATTTGGATGTATTGTCTGAAGTATGCCGTTCTTACAAAAGAGTTTTCCAAAAAAGTGCTGTGTATTGTATTGAGTACTGTACTGTGTTCAATGCTACGAATAAGTTCAAGGCGACGTCATCTGATTCACTGTGATTGTCCCTTTTCATCAATTCCCCTTTTCATTATGTTTTCTGGGAGGTTACTGTTTGTCACTGCACTTTTTTGGCCTTCGCACTGAGAACATTATATTTTCATTCTATAGACCTATCACACATGTATATTTGATCCGCTTACGTTTAAGAGTGCTGTTTTCCATTTCGCCTTACAGTTTTTTTATCACGATGTTAAATTTGATGCAGTACGGTATGCATAATATATGTTTAGGAAAAAGATAAATGATATACATTTATGTGTGAATTTATATGGAGTTAACTTCAAGTGTTCAAACAAAATTTTTTCAGCAAGTATTCTTTTAGATAAATGATAGATTATAATGTATGCCCATCTGTCATTCCTACAGTTTGTAGCTTCTTAGCCCATCGGTCGCAATGCGTGAGATTTGGTGGGTCATTGTCATCTTTTAAATACATTACTTGCGGTGTTCCCCTGGGGACGAAGTTAGGACCTATTCTCTTTACAATAATGGTGAATGATTTGCTAGAGCACATTCCAGAGAGTTGGAAGTTTGTCGACGATTTAACAGTCGGCGATATAAATCGTCTTCCTCGTAGTAATTCGATTGGGCACTCTCTCCAAAGTCACTTAGATGCACTCCAAACCTGGTGTAATGAAAATGATATGTTGCCCAATTCCACTAAATACAACGTAATGCATATACACTTCTTGAAAAATGAACCCCTCTTCATTCCATTAATGTTAGGAAATAACGTGTTGGAAGTAAAGCCAACTATTATATTGCTTGGTGTTCTGTTACAAAATAATATGAAATGGGATTCGCAAGTTAAGGAAATGGTTTCAAAATCTTCCCGTCGTATGTACATGTTGTATGTTCTGAGACGTTATGGTGCTCCTAGGGATGATCTTGTTTTTACTTATATAACATATATAAGACCCATCTTAGAATACGCTAGTCCACTCTGGCATTCTTCCATTACGAAGAAGCAGTGTATTCAGTTGGAGTTTGTCCAGAAATGGGCCACCAAGATCATCCTGGGATACAAAAAGTACCACGGATATCAAGACGCACTGAACATACTCAACTTACCATCGCTACAGGCACGGAGATCGGACTTCCTGATTAAATTTGGAGTCTTGTGACATCTCAACGGTTTGCTGATTGGGTTCCTGAAAACCCCAAACCAGTGAGGAGCCTACGAAATCATAGGGAATATAAAGTACCTCGGTGCAGAACCAACCGGTTATCCAATTCAACACTTCCAAGTGTTAATTTTTTGAATGACTAGAGCAACTGCTATTTTGAATCAGGTAGTTGTTAGGCCTACATAATAGTATTTTTTTTAAATTTCAATGAATTTTTGATATGAAGAAACAATTTTTTTAATCTGTAATTGTACATATATATTTAAATAATCACTGTTTGTAATAACAATTTTCATGTATGTAGATTTATAATTATTTATTAATGTTTATAGATTGAAGTGATTTGATAGGCCTAAAGTTTGGTGTTTATTTTTTATGTGATTTGATGTTTCTTTTTGTATTTATATTTATATTTTTTCCCTTTGTAAACTCAAAATATTTCAACCTTTTTGCATTTTGAGTATTTTATACCAAATAAATAAAAAAATAAATAAATATAAAAAGATTCTTTGAATCTTGGTATATCTCTTTGGTTTTTATTGTTTATTTTGTTTTTGTTTTTGTTTCGTTTTTTGGGGGGTTTTTTGTTTTGTTATGTTTTGATTTTTATTTTTGCTTTTTTTTTTGTTTTTGTTTTGTTTTGTTTTTTTGGTTTTTTTTAAATTTTTTAATGAGAACTTAGCTACTGTAACAATACTCTGAAATTCACTACACATTCAAATATGTTAATTATCCAAACAGATTAGGAAAACAATATGTGAGACCTTTTCAAACCCTGCAGTCCGAGGGTAGGATATAGATATTAGCTATAGTGTATAATTTTTTAGTACAGGTACTATCATCCGGTGCAAAGTTGTAATTGAAAAATGCGGGGAATTTGTTTTAAAACGAGCCTGTGAAAATTAAAGACATCACACTTGGCAATTTAATCTTTCAGTCAATTGTATTGGCTAAATTCCTCCGTTATTAATGTTGACAGAAAAAAAAACTTATCTATAATTCAATGTTTAATGCCTAATAAGCAGGTTACAAACACACAAATGACTAATGGAATCCGCATATTGGTTTTTGATATTAAAGACGCAGTTATCTTAAGATATTAACTTCACGGATCACATTTCAAGTTTAAACCATTCCACAATACTCACATCTAAACAAACATATTCAAGTGGTTTCGGGTGTCATTATTTCTATTTGCACTACGAAGTCCTATATATAAATTTACATTAGGCACACTAGTACATCTAAATTTTGAAGTTTGCTAGATCTACTGTAGTATAATACTACATTAGTATTATTCTACAAAGAATAATACATTTTATGTATTAGTAAAGGAAACGGTATGTTACTGATGGATTGCTTTAAGGTGATAGGTTATTTTTAAATTAAATAATATTTTGATGCACGAGAGAATAAATTATTTTATTAACTATACAGAATTAAATTCTGGTCTTCAAAAGATAACCGGAAAACGGAATGCTGTGTAATGATATATCAAAAATTGTTCACACTATCAACTCTAACTACAAATCAAGTGAACCAACAGTTAAATAGACTGATTCCTCTATTATATACCAAATTACAACAACAACAGAAATACAACTTACAAACTGAAGCCTTGTCCAGACTATTACATTTTATTTGACAAAAATTGAAATGACTAAATATGGTCATGATGACATCACATCATGACTCTATATGGGCATGCAACAGTTTTGTTTGTTTTATTATTTTTTTTGTCAAAGAACATTTGATAGTGTGGACATAGCTTTAACTAATCAATACTACATACACAATTTGATTGATTAACTTTACACTGAAGAATCTACAGTATGTATAACAGCTTAATCTATAATGTCTTTCATTCACTGAGGGCGTTTCAAGAGTTTTTATCAAACGTAAAAGCTAACTAATCAGAACACGACAAAGAATACGCACGTTTCACACTAACCTACATGTGGTCCAAAAATTCACGGTCGGTTATGTTTTTTAATGCTGTCGTTTTGTAAGACCACAGCAACAAGTCTAGGGGCGAATATTATCGGAAAGATGTA